CCCTTACTTGGGGTGAAATGATAAAAACAAATAACAAGGCGCTGATAGACAATGTAATTGTAACGAAAGACACGACTACCTCTGAATTCGAAACGAGCGTGAACGTGTCCTGCCTGCAAAGTGATGACAAAAAAGAAATATGGGCGCTATTGAAGACGCAATTTATGCGCGCCATCTCGTCCAAAACGAGACGATATTTGCACACATGAAAATTTTGGCCGTCTTGGAATAGCATAAAAAGCGTGGTGCCAGCAGCAAAAAAAAAAAAAAAAGAGAAGAAATATCTTTCCGCGGACTGCGTGTGTTAAAGTTGGACGTCCGGATTGACAGACAGACAATGAGGAAGTTGAAGTAGGCGCGGCTGAGTTGGTGTCTGTTTCACAACTGCCCAGTGTAACGGCCGAGAAAGGGAGCCACGCAATCCATTTCCTTGAGGCGACCGAAGAAGAAGAAAAACAGCTGGCCTACCGGCGAGCGTCGCATTGCACTTTTTGAGCCCCCCCCCTCATCATCTTTTTTTTTCTCTACAGTAATAGAGGAAAACAAGAGGTAAGAACTAATAGTAAAGTTTAAGAAAATAGAATAGATGTTTGATAGCAAAAGAGACAAGTTCCGAGTTACGTATTGGGGACGTGAAAATCAAGTGCGAAAATTTAATAACCTTCATAGTGCAGTTAGAGTTGATGGAAAGTCTAATATAGAAATTCGAAGGTGAATAGGAATAGCAAAATATGCCTTTCAGAAATTAAGTATGGTATCAATGATTAGAAATTTTCCTTGGAAATAAAGAAACGATTGCAGGACTATTATGCGCTGACTAATTTTTCAACGAATGTTAATCATTTTCCTCACAGAAGAAAACGAACTTGAAGTGACGGATACGTGTTTCCATCGATGAATGCCGGGAAAAGCATGGACAGAATAGGTATGAAACAAGGAAACTTTAGGGAGGACAAATGGTTTCGTACCTTTTCCAAATGTATTTGTGCGTAAGTGAATATAACAAAACCAGACTGGAATTGAAACCGGACTCTACGATTTCCGATTCCGCACCGTTATTAAGTACACCACCCGCACATCCAAGCTTACAGCACCTGCTATTCCAAGCGGTCACCCATAATTATTGAAGAGAAAGAAAATGAACACGATGCAAAAAGACAGAAGATGACGAATGATGCTGCACTTATATTTTTTGAAGATCATATTTGCCTGTAAAGCATGAAACCGGAAGAGACTTTCACAAGCAAGAAGTGCGAGAAAAGAAACTTAGCATAGAACTTACAGTTAAATGTAGCAACTTCGACTGTAAAATGATGAAACCCAAGAAGAATAGGAATTCTAAAGAAACTGCACGAAAAAGAGACAGTTAATTTTTTGAGACATATAATGAAGAAAGAAGACTTTGAAAATTTAACACTCACAAGGTTTAGTCAAGACAGCAAGAGAGAGCAACCTATTTAAAGAATCTGAGTAAAAAGATGTCAGAATATGGGATAGAGTGGTAACAACAGTTAAAAGGCAAGAGTTAACTAGAGAAATAATAAGTTACGGAGAGACATGATCGCTAACATCCTAAGAAGAGACACGGTTCACACTCGTGAACTATCCCAGTCACTGAGGATAAGATTTCGACATCCTGTCAACTTATCGCGTTTTTTTTGTTTTTTTTTTGTTTTGTTTTTTTGTTATTTTTGTAAATAATTCTGCACATTCGTTCACAATGTATATGCAAAGTTTCGAACTCACCAAATAATTAAATGAAAATACATTTTATTTAGATAATCAGAAAGATGTATCTTTGAACCCAACAGATAAAACCGTCGTAATTTGTATGAAGTGAATCATTTTATTTATGATTTCTTAATCACTCACTTGCACATGAGTAACGTGGGTTAGTTATAAAAAGCAACTCCCAACCAGGATCGGATTATGACCTTTGGAGCCCCTGGGCTAATAAAATTATGGACCCCGCCCTCAGACGGAGCAATCCTCCTACTCGCCCGCACCCGTCTTTTGATATTTCTTTTACTCGTGATATAGTTTAGGATATTTACATAGCTTGAAGTAAACTTATTAGAAATTCTTTAAATAAACTAAAATGGGTATCTTTTGTTTGTCAATAAAACTATTCTTTAAGAAATACCTTCACTATTTTATTATCTATTGCAAACCGAATTAGCAAAGTTTTCAAAGGACTCCGTAGTAAAAGAAATATTTCTATAACCAGCATTACAGCAATAAAACAATCAAAATAAATATGAGTTTGAAATATTAAAATCATTTCAGTTAATGAAACTATTTAGAAGTCATAAGTTTTAGAAAATTAGAATCTTTGTTTTAATAAAAAAAAAATTCTAAGATTTAAACATTCTGAAGTAAAATCAAATATTTTATCGACTTGAAACACAATGACAGAAATTAAATCATTCTTTTTCTTGTTTTACTTCCTGTAAAGTTAGATGAATGTGAGTGATATCATTTGGAACTATTTACAAGTTATAACATAAAAAATTAAAATCATTGTTTTATAAAACTTGAGAGGCCCGAGACTGCAGCCTATACTGGACTAGGGGTTAATCCGGGGATAATCCGGCCCTGCTTTCCATATCTGTAGGAAGTGAGAGCCCATCTCTCATGTACGACGCTTTATGGATTCGGCGACCGAGACCAATTAGCAATATATGTTATGATCTCTGAATTTCTAGATTAAACAGTTATCATTATTTACCCTCTTTACATACGGACTATGATCCTCATCTTTGTTGTTATTATCACAATGTTTTGGCCGGAGAGCACAACGGCCGAAACGTTGTGATAACAACAACAAAGATGAAGACAACAGTGTGAATGTAGTGTCATTTTGTTAAGGCATAAATAATATGTATGAGTATGTGTATGTGTACGTGAGGGCGTGTGTGTGAGTGTGTGTACGGCATACTGAAAAAATCTCGCCCCGTTCTATTTAGCAAAAGCTGACAAAGCAGAAACTAGTCAAAACATCAACTTTTCAAACTCCTCGTATATATTACTGTAGAGGACGGCTGAGTCGACGCTTGAAGAGGTTAAAAATGGTAAAGATTGAAGAAACAACTACTCGGGAGTCGGTGCCATAAAGTATTGGGTTGGTGCATAATTATCAGGCGTTTTTGTAGGCGAAGTTATTTGTTAATAAAAAATGCAGATTTGTCTAATTTTTTTAATAAAAGAATTATTCTATTATTTGATCGACAATGTGTGTCGATAATCAAACGCTCCGGAATAATCATTTAAAAATGATTTATTGTTGAATTATGTTTCTTTTTTTCATAATAAATATTGTTTAAAAAACGCCTGATAATTATACACCAACTCAATAGCTGTTCGAATGGAACTTCACCAAAAATGTATTCACAATTTAGCAACTCGTTTCATTTTCATTTCTCTTCAGATTTAAGCCACGAGAAATAACAAAGAATAGGAATTCTAAAGAAACTGCACGAAAAAGAGACAGTTATTTTTTGAGGCATATAATGAAGAAAGAAGGCTTTGAAAATTTAATACTCACAGGGTTTAGTCAAAACAGCAAGAAAGAGCAACCTATTTAAAGAATCTGAGTAAAAAGATGTCAGAATATGGGATACAGTGGTAAAAACAGTTAAAAGGCAAGAGTTAACTAATGAAATAATAAGTTACGGAGAGACATGATCGCTAACATCCTATGAAGAGACACGGTTCACACTCGTGAACTATCCCAGTCACTGAGGATAAGATTTCGACATCCTGTCAATTTATCGCGATTTTTGTAAATAATTCTGCACATTCGTTCACAATGTATATGCAAAGTTTCAAACCCATCAAATAATTAAATGAAAATGCATTTTATTTCGATAATCAGAAAGATGTATCTTTGAACTCTAAAGTGCTATGGGAAATTTGAAAACGCATTTGAAGTGCAAAAACAGGAGTGAGTTTACCATCACGTGGACTAGAAATTTAGTTTGAAACAGATGGAACTGTTATCGCAATAAAGATGCTCTGGACCGAATAATCGAGATTTGCAAGAGGTACTTGGCAAGATTTATAAAAGACGTACACTTTCCAACAAAAATTGTTCGAAACGATGAGACGACATTTATATTAAATGCTTCAATTTAGCGCTACTTTTGCACCTCTGATAATTTGTAGATTATAGAGGAACATTCAATAACTTTCGAGGTGTGGCATGTAAACATATTTTTAAATATAACAGACAACGAATGTCTATTATGTTTGATCATGAGCCATTCTAAACTTCGTATGTTTGCTTTAATTTTCGGGTGAAAATAAAAACAAAAATTGTCCAACATTTGGATATTTTTTTTATTAAGTTGGTCCTTGATCTAAGTTTTCGGCTCAAATGAGCCATCTTCAGGAGTGGTTATACGAATATTTAAACAAAGATATTCACCATCAAAGATTATATTCTGTTATGTTGACATAGAAGATTGCTATACGACGGAATAGCAGACGCAGGTCGTAAATTTATGATGCGGTTCTATGACGTCGTACCACGTGAGAGACCGAAATATTAACAACAGAACCATATGTCTAGATGCAATGTAACTGTTGTGACTAGATTTACACTTTCCAACAAAAATTGTTTGGAATAAATGAGACGACATTTAAATTAAATGCTTCAATTAAATGCTACTTTTGCACGTCTGATAATTTATAGAATATGGAGGAAAACCCTATAATTTTCCAGGTATGATATTGTGGTTCGGCTTATCATCAAAGCCATTAAAAGGACGATTCTTTTTTTTCTTTTTTTTTCTTTTTTTTTAAAGTATTTTGACTGGTTTGATTTACTTGAACGTTAAACGACAGTATACTATGCCAGGACTTTTATTTCAATCAACCAGTGATGAACTGTGGGCTGAACAATCGTTTGTAAAGTGATTTGCTAACCACCCTGTCAAACGACATTCAGCTATTATCAATATATGTGTATATATATATAAGGGATTGTATAAAGGGTATACACCTCATATTTTTGCGTTTGTGCTTGCGTGGGTGTATGTGTGCGAATATAGATAGATAGATAGATAGATAGATAGATAGATAGATAATGAACAGACATAGATAGATAGATAGATAGATAGATAGATAGATAGATAGATAGATAGATAGATAGATAGATAGATTGATTTCGACGCCGAATCTTGCGATGTTTGCTTTATATCTAATCTTAGAAAGGGAAAAAACAATATGCACTCGATGCACTCATCACATCGCCACTCAGTACAATGACTCAACAAACTTTAAGCATCCCCCCTACACACACAAACGCACACAGTTCGGCTGTGCAAATTTCATGCCTTCTCATAGAGGCCCGTAATATACCATCTATGCAATCAGCATCACCGAACACAGAAGACTGACTCACAAATGGTATGCAGACGCTAATCAGTGGTATATTCAGTGATTAAGCCCGATTTTCGTAATGTCGGTTCATCCTGTGAATGTCCTCCCCCTTCCCAACTCCAACCTCGTACAGTTCAAGTAAGAAATGAACTGTTTTCGACAGTGATCCTTATATCCGCTGTTTAGTTTTCACGGTTTCTGTTAACCGCGACCTATTCCTAAATTTTACTTAAGAAAGGCTGCAAAATCCAAAAACGGTTGACAGTTGAACGTGACAAAGAGAAATCATAAAAATGCATAAAAGACGACAGTTATCGACTTAATAAGGAAAGACCAAAAATCCTTTGCTTTAGTTACTAAGATCTACGGCAAGAATGAATTCTCCATCCATAACTTGCACGTCCTGGGTAAAACATTAAACTTCATCCGCGTCCTGGGTAAGACGATAAACTACATCCAGCAGCAAGGCCTATGATCAGGAGGTTTTGAGGAGCGTGGAACCACCTCTTAATTGCTAGTGTTCCCAGGTCTGTCCTTAACTGTTAGGGTCCCAGCTATGGGTAAATAGTTAACTATTACTAGCAATACTTTTTTGAAAAAATTATTACCAGCAATACATTTTTGAAATAGAAATATTACTAGAAACAGATTTTTGACAAAACAAAATATTACCAGCAATAAAAATTGAAGATAATATGCCGTAAAGCAAAATAAACCAAACCAATCTAAACCAAAGAATATATATTCTGTTCATACGAATCTATCCTAAAAATGTTGTCGGCATTAAATAACCCATTGAGGTTGATATACCGTAAAAGCAAAATAAACCAAACCAATAAACCAAACCAATCTAAACCAAAAATGAATTAAATAACATATTCTATTCAATAAACGACTCTATCCTATAAATGTATCCTCGGCATTAAATAACCCATTGAGGTTGACATGCCGTAAAACAAAATAAACCAAACCAATCTAAACCAAAGAATACATATTCTATTCATACGAATCTATCCTAAAAATGTCTATCCTAAAAATGTTGTCGGCATTAAATAACCCATTGAGGTTGATATACCGTAAAGCAAAATAAACCAAACCAATCTAAACCAAAGAATACATATTCTATTCATACGAATCTATCCTAAAAATGTTGTCGGCATTAAATAACCCATTGAGGTTGACATGCCGTAAAACAAAATAAACCAAACCAATCTAAACCAAAGAATACATATTCTATTCATACGAATCTATCCTAAAAATGTTGTCGGCATTGGGATTGATATGCCGTAAAACAAGATAAACCAAACCAAATCCATCACTTGTATTACAGTATATTGTTTTATTTTATTATGAACAGAAACCTTCGTCATGCCAAGTTCATAGTACAGAATATTCTCCACTTTCTCACTGGATATGTTAATGGCATTGGTAATTTCATTTTTAGTCAATCGCCTGCCACCCATCACTAAGGAGTGAACACGATCAGATAAATTTAAATCCTACATTTTTATCAGGTGGCATTTTTACTATAATATTTCATTAAGTATAAGGCCCAAGAGCCACTCGAGGTAGAGGAGCATGAATGATGTTAGCTGTGATGGTTGGAACTCGTAGTTCGTCTGAACACCATGGAAATAGCGATAGAGCAACGACAGGCTGCGACATTTTCGTCTGTGAGGAAAGGGGTTGTAGGGTGGAAAATAATTCCTCGCCCACAAGAACTCGGAGACACTTTTGGACTGGAGAGTGAAGATTAGGCAGCCATATATGGTATCAGTACTCTATTTTAGGCGCATGTAAAGGTAGAGGATAGCAGAAGGAGTTAGATATGTACTGGGGGGATGCAGGAAACTAAGTATTTTTCCAGTCTTTTTAATGAAAGGAATAATCATATAAAGCGTAAGAAAACACAATTATGATTGCTTGTTCTAATCTTCGCGACTGAATATGCCTCAAACAAAGAAAGATTTTCCCCGTGATGTGCGTTTTTGATCAGATGTCAGAAGATGTGGCACTCACCGAACAGAAATCTTGGTCATGCCAAGTTCATTGTGCAGAATATTCTCAACTCTCTCACGGGATATGTTAATAGCATTGGTAATTTGATTTTTAGTCAGTCCCCTGGCATTCATCACCATATGGTCAACACAATCATTATTTGTCTCGATGGTGACAGTTTCATAACATCCAGACATTGGGTCATCTTGAAAACTCTCCCTTCCCCACCTAAATTCAGCTGCCCACTTTTGCACTCCTTATAAAGGCGGGGCATCAGTCCCTAATGTAGTAATTATGTCCTTAGGGGTAAAACCCTGTTTCTCTAAGTACTTGATAATACCATGAAGGCAAATAATTGTCCATTTTCAAGCGAAGTAGCTACTAGTTACTTTTGAAGTCTTGTTTTAACAGTCACATTTTAATCAAAATGGAAGGAAACAATGCTGTTATTAATGTGACCAATCGAAATTAATGCACACATGATTTCACAGCTCTAGCATCCGTTTTTCGTCCTCAGCCTATGAAGTTTTCAGCCCACCTTCGTACCTAGGCTGAAATAATGATGTTATTAATACGAAGAGTTGAAAGCAATGCACGCATGATTCGACGTCCCTAGCAACCTTCCTTCCTCGTCAGCCTATGAGGTTTTCAGCCCACCTTCATACCTGGAACCGAAATAATTAATAAGAAAAGTAGAAAATAATGCATGCAATATTCCACAGGTCTAGCATCCTTTCTTCCTCGTCAGCCTATGATGTTTTCAGCCCACCTTCATACCTGGAACCGAAATAATTAATAAGAAGAGTAGAAAATAATGCATGCAATATTCCACAGGTCTAGCATCCTTTCTTCCTCGTCAGCCTATGAGGTTTTCAACCCTCGTATGTTAATATAATTGTCTTATTTTATTGTGAATTATTGGTGTTAATATCTCATTGTGCCTAATAACATTTACGGTAAGAACGAAGTTTCTACCTGGCACATCATTTTTATTAAAAATATTGTTATCATAATTCTCTTTTGTTATTAGTTATTGGCTTTAATCTTTTATAGTGCCTCTTAAGATCTACAGTAAGAACGGACATTCTAACCGTCACATAATGTTTATTACAATGTATTTTTATAAATATTCTACAACTATTTTTTATAAGCAAATGACGAAGTTGATCTTTATTGGGGTTGATTCATTTTTACGAAAGGATTAGTTTTCCAGTTTCTAAAATGGATGCTTTTTTATCCTTGGGTCTAATAAATATAAAAGAAAAACTTTTTAGTTTAACTGAACTAGTAGAATTCTTGAGTACAATGCAATACAACTTATTAAGAAACTGTTTTTTTTTTTTTGTTTTTTTTTTTTTGTTATTTCTTTTTCTTTTTCTTTTCTTTTTCCTTTTCTTTTTGTTTTCTTTTCTTTTTTCTTTTGCTTTTTTCTTTTCTTTTCCCTTTCTTTTCTTTTCTCTTTCTTTTCTTTTTCCTTTTCTTTTCTTTTCTTCATTTATTTTTGAGTTGTTAGTTTAAGTCATACTCTGACGTTAATGATGGAATGGCTCAAAATTTAGCCAAATTTAAATACCGTTGCTTATCTTAAAAAAACCTGTATTTTATTAGTTATTATTATTAATCTCTTAATCTGCCTTATTTATGAATTAAATGTTATTATAATCAGTCGGCTGATTTTATATGCCAGCCCTTGTTTCGTTATTTAATGTCAAATTTTGTATAGAGTACCCCGTGGGGATCGAGATGATGACACAGTAATAATGCTCAACTAAAACCCGTTAACCATAACCCCACACTGGGACTTGTATTTATTGTATAGGCATCTATGCACAGAGAAAATAAATATTAATACACGCGGTTTCAGACATGCGCTGCAATCTTGCAACATAACCCCTGCAGATACTGGCGTAATATTTTATTTATTTCGTTACTTTTGTGAATTGTGATAATTTCGCGAAAATACATTTGGATGAAATCAAGGAAAGGCAGTTTTTGAAAACATAGCGATAGATTCGGCCTATGATTGATTAACTAATTAAAGTTTCGGCTCTAATTAATCGAAATTATCGTCATTATCTCTTCCTTTTCTATCTTATCTCATTAAATATTGGGCGGCTTTTATTCTTCGCGTTTCGCCCTTTCTTCCTTTTTTTTTTCAACGTAATATTGTGAAAATTATTTCTTACGTCTTAATTCGCTTAATTCATGCGATGCTTTCAGCTCAATACAGGTGAGGCAGAAACAGAAAGACAGAAAGAAAGAAACAAAGAAAGAAACGAAAAGAACGATGTCACTGAGTGCAGAAATGTTGTAACCACGGCAACGCTGTAAATATGGCGGAATATTGATTCTATTCGGAAACACTTTTCATTAATGTTTTACAATTGTTGCTATGACAACAAGAGCGGGAGTCAACAAGTGCATTTTCTTATCTTCATGGAAAAACGTTCTTCCGAGATGTGTGTGTGTGTGTGTGTGTGTGTGTGTGTGTGTGTGTGTGTGTGTGTGTGTGTGTGTGTGTGTGTGTGTGTGTTTATACAAGAAGCATTTACTCTACACAAAAAGCATTTGTGTTGACAGGAAGATCGCTTTTCTACAGTTTCTCTTTTAAATGAAAAGCAATAATTCTCTACAGAAAAAATAGCTGAATGCGTTCAAAATAGTTCATGACACACATTCACTTTGCATTAAAAATAACTCAAATGCTTGTCTCTGAAGATGTACCAAAGGAATTGCGTACAAGTCGAAAGATCAAAGGGAAATCCATTTATAGAAGACATGGATTAAATCCGACGAAATGATTGAATAAAGAATAAATTAAAAAA